TTTTTTTTTTTTTTAGGATTCAAACATGCAATTTTTCCTAAATATTTTTGTTAAAACAGCATTGTGTGTTTGGCTCACCGAGTTTCAGGGCTTTGAACTCCGGGAGGTGAGCAGATGCACAGAGCTGATAGAAGATATGATAATTCCTCTCCTCATCTGCCTGAAAAACAAAGGATGCAAGAAAAACAAAAATACCATATAAGATTATTTAAAATCGACAGTTGGTTCCATCTGCAGATTTACTTTTTTTGGCCACAAGAAACATACAAGGATCCTACACAAAACATTTCTATGACTATGAAACAAAACATACCAATTACTGCTCATGAAGCCGCATTTACTCGCTTAACGTGTTTGAGAGTATATAACCATGAATTCTGCATATTGTGTAAGGTGTTTTTTAACTTCATTAAAAAAGATCTTGGTTGTAACTTTGATGATGATCAGTGGGATGTTGCATACAAGTGTGTCTTTTTCTCATTCTCTAGTAACTAAATTATTGAACAAAGAATATATGTGAACCCCAGTTCGCCTTAGTAAGATACATTCTGGTGCATCTCCTTTGTGCAACAGATGTAAGACAAATAAGGGCACCATTATGCACATTTTTTGGAACAGCGAAAAACTACATGAGTTTTGGGATACTGTACATGAGTTCTCTGTGATGGTCCTGGGGAAGAAGTATCACAAGACTCCTTTAATATATTGGGGTGAACTTAAATGACATATCAGACCCTTTATTTATCAAAAGGGTAGGTCTGATATCTTACATATCAAATAAATGTGTTCTATTAAACTGGAAAAAGGAACACCCTCCAACATTTAAATTATTTAAAAATATCATAAACGACACACTGCACATGGAAAATGTAACATACGGTTTAAAAAACAGAACCCACATCTTCTTAGAGACCTGGATTTTTTTTTGACCTAGTATGAACCCTTTGACTCGTGCTTATTATAACTTAATATCCATTGTTATCACACTGACCATTTATGTGCTATTATTTGATTCAGTTTTAATTTGCTAACACAAATTGTATTTGATGATGTATGTTTTCATATTTGTATACTCTGATGCTATTTTATGTAGAATATTTTTTTTATTGTTTTGATTGTTGTTATATTGTAAACTTATATATAAATATAAGTATATTTATATAGTATAAGTATAAGTATATATTTATATATAAATATAACTACTTAAGATTTTTTCCAAGAACTGCACTTACTGTATGGACCTTTCTTACATTTTACCTTAAGACATTTTTTTTGTTTTTTAAGATGATTTTCATGAATCCAGCCTCAGAACCCATAAAGACATTTTCCATAAATAATAATAAAAAAAAACAATAACTCAATATTAAATGCACTCTGCCTCTTTGTCCCAACAAACTAAACCATCAAAATATATGAAAACTTTAGGAGGAAAGTACAAGAGTTGAATTCCTTAAGAATGGATTGTACCCTCTGTCAGTGTATTTTTTTATTAGATTACATTTGATGGTCAAAAGTAAACTTGCCAGGCAAATAACACTGACTTCTGTGAATAATATATCTAAAATAAACCTAATTCGTATAGAAACGAGCATTCACACTGAAAAGAAGGCTAATGACATCATTTAAATATATGGCACAATACCAGCGCAGAGACTGTAGGTGATTAGTGAATAAGATGTAGGTTTTTGTGATGAAACAGCACGCTCAAAAGTGATAAAACATGTTACTGTCACAGTAATGCATTTTAAGTATGTACTGTACAACAAGCTTGCAAAATAGCATTAAAGTTTTCATTTACATACTTGCATAAAGTATATTTCTACTCAATTTGACTAGAAATATACTTTATGCAAGTATGTAAATGCAAACTTTAATGCTATTTTGCAAGCTTGTTGTACAGTACATACTTAAAATGCATTACTGCATCTAACACAATCACACACTTAAATCATCTGGAATTCCCCTAAGCACAAGAGTAGTCTGTAAGAGTATGTTACATAACCCTGAACAGACATGTTTAACTCCATTATCCTCATTCCTGTCCAGTTTAGCGGCCAATAATACAGGTGCAACCCTGGATAACAGTCTTCAACTATATCTTTCAGATTTTGGCAAGCGAAGGGCCTAAAACTGTGTCAGTGCCTGAAATCGCTCCCTATACCCTTACATAGTGCACTATTTGATAGTGATGCACCGAAAATGTTTTATTAAACGCAAAAACCAAAATTAAAGTTTTTATTTAGCAGAAAAATAGTTAAAATAAAATGTATTCAATAATCACTTAAATAAATCAAATTTATTTAATAATCAACACTCAAAAAACAGTTTTATATTTTAAAAAAAATTGCACATTAGTTAGTTTCTATATCAGCAATTATTAATGATAGATTAATTCATTGTTGAAATATTAACATTTAAATAGTGGCTATATTTAAAACTTAATTTTATTCGATTTTAAATTCGGCTTAACTCTTTGTATCAATATTTTTAGCACTGGATATTTTTAATCAACATTTTTTTCTCACTTTATCCAGCATCTTTGAGCTTATCAGCTGTTGAAATATTAACATTTAAATAGTGGCTATATTTAAAACTTAATTTTATTCTATTTTAAATTCGGCTTAACTCTTTGTATCAATATTTTTAGCACTGGATATTTTTAATCAACATTTTTTTCTCGCTTTATCCAGCATCTTTGAGCTTATCAGCGCATTCTGGAAGTGCCTTCTCTGTGAAGAAATTTGGCCAGAAGAAGGTATCTAAGAAGGCAGAATAATTATTAGCTGATAACTTCACTATGGAGTCTTGGAAGTGTAGAAGGACACAGGAGTCTTCAAGGAATGAAAATAGCCCTGTGAATTAAATCCCTGAGGTATCTGAGAGGAGCTAAAATTAGAGCTGACATAAGCAGAAAGTGCGGTGGGCTGGCTGCTCCTGTAGGTGTACACTGTCTTATGCCATTCCTTGAAGCAGTTTCAATTTCCAAATTTATATTGCAGGATTGCTGATTCAGTCTTTCCTTTTTCTGAATGATAAAGACACCACACAACATGTAAACACTACATAAAGGGTAGATATAATTTACAGCAATAACTCACCATATGTTATGTGATCATTACCTCATCTTTATTTTGTTTCAATTCAGTGTTTTTTAGTAGTTCATACAACATGTGCACTACATTCCAAGTGTACTGAATAGGAATCGAAATTCAGTTTCGATTTCGGCCTCCAGCGATTATGAAAATACTGTAATCGAGATAAAACGATTATTGCGCCCCATTTCGCCCCCTTTCCAGCGGTGCTCTTTCGTTCCTCCATAAAAGCCCAATTTCACGTGCAAATCAGTAAAATCATGTAACGAGACTTTTGCAAAATGGGACGTGTTTGATATATTTAAGTTGATTCGATTTATTTATGTTTTTAAAAGCGTGAAAGAGAACTTGCGCTTCCTTGGGAAGATTACGGTGTATGCGCTCAGAGACAGAACACAACACGGACATGTAAAGTCGTCTTTTAGTGCCTAAACGGTCAAATACACACAAAAATGTGTCAAAATGCAACGCTTAGTGAAAGCAAGATCTCACGCTCGTGCGGCAGTATCAGTGAGTCAAAGAGACTTGCTAAGGTTTGTCCAAGAAGTCGCTAGATTTGTCGCTAGTTGCTTTTTTGGAAAGTCGCTAAATCTAGCGACAAAGTCGCTAAGTTGGCAACACTGCTCACTGCTCTTGACTGAAGGACTTTTGTAGCTTTAATAGGGAAACAAAGGAAGTTTAATTCTTACAGTGAAGACTATGCTGTTTTATTTTAATCACTCACTGCTCTTGACTGAAGGACTTTTGTAGCTTTAATAAGAAACAAAGGAAGTTTAATTCTTACAGTGAAGACTATGCTGTTTTATTTTACATTAGGTTATTCAATTTCTCTAGTCGGCTGTTAACTGAATAGCTACTTTAGAACAAATGATAATATATAAATCGTCAGTTTGTTGTTTTACACACATGCACAAAGACATTATTTCATACAGGACATAGTCGTGAGATGCAAGAAACAGAGACATATGGAAAGAAATCTGTAGACGCGCCCATAACAACAAAAGACAATACTTTATTGAACCTTTTCTGATAAGAAGTGTGCGCTGCAAACGCAAGCATTTTTGACGATCGTTTCTGTCCAGTCTGCTCGTTTTATCGCATTTAACCACAGCTGTCGTCGGTTTTTTGTTTGGCAGTGGCAGCAGATATACAATCAAATTTCTAATTTGAGGCTGTATTACATCGATTCTGGCGAGAGAGGAGTTGTAAAAATATATTGAGATGGTTTTTGGTACTTATACCGCAAATATATATTCATAAGAACATCAAAACCTAAAATAAAACTCCAGAAAGGTGTAAAATATGTGACCTTTAAAAAACTTAAAGCACAGTTTGTTTCATTTGTATCTTTTTTATTCTATTGTATTCTTTTGATTTTGTATAACTGGCATTGTATTCCTTTGCTTTTTTATTACTGGCAGTTTAATTATTTTCAATAATTTTAAGGACCTTTTTAGTTTTTTTTTTATTACTAATTTTACTCTGGTATTCTGCTGTGGTACTGAGAATTGTGACAATTCGCTGGTCTCTAAAATGTAGATGTCATAGCAACCTTATTTACAGAAAATATATTTGATATATATCACTATCTTTAAATAAATCTTTCATATAAAGTTTTGGTCATATGGGCCACTAATAATCGTGATTACAATATTGACCAAAATAATCGTGATTATTATTTTTGTCATAATCGAGCAGCCCTAGTACTGAAGTCATACAATTGTTTTGAAAATCTTACGTTATCCCTTAAAACTTTTTTTTTACATTTTTGCTATGTACATTCCTAGTGCCTGAAGACACATCACGCAAAGTCTGATAATCCATGATCCCACACACTAGAGCTGAGTTGACAGTATTGGTTTCATAATTTTAATCAATTCTCTTTTTGATGAACTGATACTGATCATGACTCCCATCCAATAAATTGCAATAAGCTTTGTTCTTTGTTGCTTTTGATACGAAACAAAGACTCAGCTTTCAAACTTTTTCAATTTCATAAAACATTCTAACACTAAACACCTTCAAACAACAAATTCTGCAGACAGATCACTGTAGTTCAAGTGAATCAGAATCAGAATCAGTATGAGCTTTATTGCCAAGTATGTTTACACGTACGAGGAATTTGTTTTAGTGACAGAAGCTCCACAGCGCAACAGAATGACAGTGACAAGACAGGACGCAGATAATAAAAAGAATAATATACAAATATACAAAATAGAAAATGTACAAAATAGCAAAAACACAATATATGATATAGGCAATTATGTATGTACAGGTATGATATGTGCAAATTTGAAATGTAAATAAGTATGTGTGTTAAATAAATAATGTATAATAGTGTTGTGTGTTCCACGTTTATTGTTAAAGGGTTAGTTCAATAAACACAACGTCTTCCGTCATTTTGGAGAGTACCCAGAAGCGTAATCAACGTAATCAGCGTTGTTTACGTTCGGAGGAGAAAACGCGGGTATGAACGTAATCTGTGTAATCAGCGTTGTTTATGCTTAGGGGAAAGCGTGCGTATGTGTTGTGATACTCTAAAATGGTGGAAGACGGGGGAGAAAAATTGTTGAATAAATTGTTATTTTTGTTTTCTTTGCGCTCAAAAAGTATTCTCGTAGCTTCGCAAAACTGAAGTTGAGCCACTGATGTCACATGGACTGTTTTACCGATGTCCTTACTATGTTTCTGGACCATGATCGTGTTAGGATCCTTGCTGTCTATGGGAGGGTCAGAGAGCTCTCGGGAATTCATCAAAAATATCTTAATTTGTGTTCCAAAGATGAACGGAGGTCTTACAGGTTTGGAACGACATCAGGGTGAGTAATTAATGACAAAATTTTCATTTTTGGGTGAACTATCCCTTTAAAAGTTCAGTTCTTGGAGAGAAGGGAGGGTTGTACCAATGATTTGCTCAGCAGTCCGGACTACCCTCTGAAGTCTTCTGAGGTCAGATTTGGCAGCTGAGCTGAACCAGACAGTTATAGAAGTGCAAAGGACGGATTCAATGATGGCAGAGTAGAACCATTTCAGCAGCTCCTGTGGCAGGTTGAACTTCCTCAGCGAAGGAAGTACAGCCTCTGCTGGGCCTTTTTAACAATGGACTCAATGTGATAGTCCCACTTCAGGTCCTGAGAGATAGTGGTGCTCAGGAACCTGAATGTCTCCACTGTCGTTATAGTGCTGTCAATGATGGTGAGTGGTGGGAGCGTAGGGGGTTTCTCCTGAGGTCCATGATCATCTCCACAGTTTTGAGCATGTTAAGCTCCAGGTTGTTAAACCGTCCTGAATGAGGCCGATGAGTGTGGTGTCATCTGCAAACTTCAGGAGCTTGACAGAGGGGCCTTTAGAGGTGCAGTCACTGGAGTAGAGAGAGAAGAGCAGTGGGGAGAGGACGCAACCCTGGGGGGCTCAAGTGCTGATCGTACGGGTGCTGGATGATAATTTTCCCAGCTTTACTAGCTGCTGCCTGTCTGTCAGGAAGCTGGTAATCCACTGACAGATGGAGTTGGGCACAGAGAGCTGAGTTAATTTGGGCAGGAGGAGGTTTGGGATGATAGTGTTAAAAGCCGAGCTGAAGTCCACGAACAGGATCCTCACATAAGTCCCTGGTCTGTCTAGATGTTGCAGGATGTAGTGCAGTCCCATGTTGACTGTATCATCCACAGACCTGTTTGCTCTGTAGGCAAACTGCAGGGGATCTAGTAAGGGTCCAGTGATGTCCTTCAGATAAGCCAAAACCAAAAAAAGTATTTCAAATGATTTCATGGCCACAGACGTTAGAGCCACAGGTCTGTAGTCATTAAGTCCAGTAGTTTTGGGTTTCGTTGGGACACTGGTCAGCACAGGTTTTCAGACAGGCTGGTGTGACACTGTCTGGGCCTGGTGCCTTTCTTCTCTTGTTCTTTCTGAAAACCTGACACACATCATCTTCACTGAACTGAAGTGCAGGAGGGGGGGAGAGGGGGGTTGCAGGAGGTGTGAATGGTTGTGTGGAGAGGTGTTCAGAGCGGGTGTGGGGTATTTTTTCAAACCTGCAACAGAACTCATTCAGATCGCTGTGCTGGGGAATGGTGTCTTGTAATTGGTGATGTCTTTCAGACCTTTCCACACTGAAGCAGGGTCACTGGAAGAGAATTGGTTCCTTAGCTTTCCAGAATAATTCCTCTTTTCCACTCTGATCTCCTTTTCCAGTGTGTATGTGGAAATTTCCAGTTGCCTGTTTATACAAGAATCTGTCCCCTTTCCTGCAAGCATCTTCTTTGGCCTGACGGATCTGTCTGAGTTTTGCAGTGAACCATGGTTTGTCATTGTTGTAGGTTAAATGAGACCTGGTAGGAATGCACGTCTTCACAGAAACTGATATAAGAAGTTACAGTCTCCGTGAGCTCATCCAGATCGGTGGCAACAGCTTCAAAAACACTCCAATCAGTGAGGTCGAAACAGGCTTGTAAATCCCGCTCTGCTTCATTAGTCCATCTTTTTACAGTCCTTAATACAGGTTTAGCTCATTTCAGATTCTGCCTGTAGGTCGGTATAAGATAAACTCCCTAAACAGTGATCAAAGAGCCCCAAAGCTGCTCGTGGAACAGAGTGATATGCCTCTGTTATTGTGGTGTAACAATGATCCAATATATTGCTGTCTCTGGTGGGACATGT